TTTCGTCTGTGGCACAGGCAACCAGTACATGCAGAATAATATTATTTACAAACATATCAGACAAATTATTCAATATGAAATATTGTTTATTTTCTCAACATTATTCACATATCACTGAGGAGCTTCCTGTCCCTCGCTGCCCTTTGTTGCACGGGTGTAAATTAACTGGGAGTGGTGTCTGGAAACTTCTCTGATGAGTCCCTTGGAGAGTAGTTCCTCTAGTCCACGACGGGCCAGGGAGCCTCGGATCTTTAGCCTTTCAGAGACTACAGAAGGAGTGATAAGTCGATAGCTGGGAACCTCCTTGTACAGCTTGTCATAGGTGGCTTTATCAAAGAGAACCAAGTTGTTAAGCTTGTCCCTGACTTTTCCCTTGGACCACTTCTGTTGAGTTGAAGAAAATAAAGAAACGACAACTCAGTTGTACAAGAGGCTTAAACAACCTTGGGATTAATTTTTATCGAAAATTTGACCCTCTTTACAAGAAAATTAGATTACATAAGAGTTAATTATTCTGGGAAAATAATAATTCACAAAAGCTTGTTTTAAAGCCCCAACAGACCAATGAATAAAAGTCACACTAAAAAAGGCCAAGATAGAGCGGTTTTCATTTGAGTGTCGAAAAGTAATTGGTTTTGCACTTTCTACACGATGCAATTGGCTTAAAAGATTCGCGCCACCTTTTCATCCAATCAGAAGTAAAACCAAAGCCAATTGTGGCGCGCTCGCATGCATTTTCCCGCGCTTTGCGTCAGCCATATGTAATTACTTCGAGTTTTGATTGGTTCAATGTATTGTCTGTGTCCTATGTGATTGGCCAGAGTAATTACTTTGGTTTTGGTTTTACGACACTCAAACGAAAACCACTCTATACGTCTGTGTTTATTTTTAGAACAATCGCTAATCTGTCGTCAGCGTTTCCTTTTATAGGTCACATGACAGTTTCCACGTACACATGCGCAATCAAATTTGCACTGAGTAGGCTTGAGGAAATTGGAGTTGGTGTTCCTTTTCCAAATTTGACACCCAAAAATACACTTTTCCTCGCTTAATAGAAGGGACGTTGAACCATGGCAAGTTACAATGAAAATCCCTTCGCTGGAGACTCAGAAAATCCATTCGCCGTAAGTTATTATGACCGAAAGACCTTCCTCTTTCGTGACTTACTTCTGAGATCGAGTGACCAAGCTCGTTTAAAAATTTCTCTTGTATATTTCAGGATCCTTCAGTGGCCTCGCACACCAGTAATGCGGCTCGTGGACTTGAAGACTTCAATCCCTTTGCAGAACAAAATACTTCACAAGCAAGCGGTGCTGCAAAGGTTCTTCATATGTTTGTTTTTATTTCCCGTTTGTAGGTCTTTCGTACCACCAGTGATCATTAAATGATCATAGTGTAATAATGTACCTAGGATCTCAAAAACACAGCAAATGTGCCTGCTAGGAGTAATTGTCATCGTATACGCCTTTTTTGCATTGATTATAGTCTTGGAACTTCGAAATTAAGCTTACGTAAAATAAGCATACCTGAAATTATTTTGCTCTTTACTCTTCCATATCTTTCTTCACTCAAATTTTGCTGAATATCTGTTATAATGATAAACTATATAGCCTAAATTATTCTAGAATAGAAAATGCGAGCTTATCTAAACTAACTGTGAACATGTGCTTCATTTAATTAAGGAAGCTTGATCGCAAATTGATAGAGATCTTTCGGTCTCTGGATTATATTCTCAATAATATATTATATAGATTAAGGCCCCCGAGATCTATGGCAGATGCATCATATATATTGTGCCCATTGTTCGTTTAATCTAGATGATTAACCTCATAACCGTAAACATTGGGCTGTGTTCTATGGTACACGGTGGATGACATGTATCTTACCTATTGAAAATAAGCTGTTTTTTGAATATTATTTTGCAAAATACACCTGTTTGATAAATAAAGAAAGTGTTCAGTACAAAACTGGGACTGGGCAGGGAAAGCTCTCATGAAGAATAAAAATGTTATCGATTTTTTCAGATTATGCTGTCTCAAGATTGCTTGTCTCAACATTGCTTGAACTCCTCAAGGACAAATTCACTCTTTTGTAGAAAAACTCAAAGACAGATGTTTTTGTTGGTTTTTACCCACTATATTTGTTCGCCTCAAAGGGACGCCAACATGGCATCTCCATATAAAGCCTTATAAATTTGTGTAACACATTATTCCAAGTATCTCGCATATGAAATATTGCATAGACCTGATTCTTAGCAATGCTGTTTTCAAATTTATCTTCTCTCATTTCCCATCTTCTGAACTTTCTGTCAAGGCTCAAAATAACGGACAGCAGGTCGCCTGTCATGATGACCGGCCAAATATTTTTTAGCCTGGACAAACCCCAATTTTGGCCAGTCAAATAAATGAATAATATATTTTTATTTGCCCATGGAATATCGAATTACGCTGGCAAGTGATTGTTGTACTGCTTTGACGTTAAGGTTTTTGGTAGCAAGTTGGTGAAAAATTCCTTCACATGTTGTTGAGTTCCTTTCCAGGATTTTCGCCTGTTTTCATGTCCGTTTATATATACCTTGAGTATCATTGTATGGCAGTGGCTGAAGTCTCCAAGGTTCGTCCTATATCTGCATATCGGTGAAACTTGATCCTTTTCGTTGTGCGGCGCGTGATCAAAAGTCTCGTCCACAACGAAGAAACGTCACTAAATATTTCCTGCAAAGAAGTTGATTTGGCAAGAAATTTGTTCCATAAACAGCGTATTTGTCATAAATATACAGCAGAGTTTTCGTTTGGGTCATGGCGCAACACTTTATCACAAAGGGCTTATTAGCGTCAACAGAAATTTGGATAACGCTGTTTACAAGAAGGAGGATTTTAAGCGCCAAGATAGGTGACGTTTGTTCTCAATTAGCTTTATAGTTTTTATTAGAGAATTCTGGAATCGGGTCCGCAAACGAGATTCATGTTCGACATAAAGAAATTATTATAATTATTAATCGATGCACTGAAATTTATTCCTGGAGAAACACTACAGGACGAGCAATCGATTAGCCCGAATTCCGTCGAAGGTGATTTTCACAATCCTCTTACAAGTAGATGTGAAACGTTTGATGAAAAAAACTGTTAGCTATCCTTAGTTTTCCAACAAATAATAGATTATCGTTAGTGTATGTTTTCCCAAAGAAGGTCACATTACTGATCACAGCAAGGCAGAATGCACAGTACCGACCTGCTGCATCGTTGCATTACTCCACAACTCAGTTTGTTGTTGTTTCGCTTTGTTGCGTTTCATCATGACATGAAATTTATTACGGCATTCTTTTTCTTTAAAGGGTTTAGTGCAAAGCAGCAAAAAAAGCCAAAGAAAAAAGAAATCATTACAGCGTTATAGAGCAAAATGCATTAAGCATCAACTGTATGGAAAATATTATAAAATGTTCGCATCCAAAAATGACCAGCAAGAAGAGAGTTTGACCGGTCAAGCCCACGATCAGGCTGGACGTTGTCCATTAACTGGCCGTTATTTTGAGCCCTGTTCTGTTTTGAATGGTTTCAATTTTTATTTTTGATGGTGTGACAGTGACAACAGAGAACAATACTGAAATTATGAATAGATGAAAACCATATACTTTTTATGTGAACTGCAGAGAAGAATATTATTACATGTATTTGAAGGAAGATCATTGCAGTTATATACGCAACATATACTGTAAGACTAGTCTTGCACAAGTAGCATTTTATATGAGTCAGGAACTGTACCTTACAAGCATGTAAGATTTGCCTTTTATCGAATCAAAAAGACCTTTTTTTACCATTTACTCTTAAAGTCAATGTCTTATTTTTTCTGGTGTAAATGACCCTACTGTGTAAGCTGATTGTGAGGTGAATGAAGGTTATGTTTTGCACCCAAATGTAGTTCACAGCTGAGATAATGTTCAGAAATAAGTCCTTAAACATAACCAGCCAGGCACATAATTTACACCTAAAATAGTAATTCTGTACTTGACCACTGGTTGATTATATGAGTGAGCCGTATACGTTAGTCTTCTAATAATCTTAGTCTTGGCGGCTTGGGTTTTTTTCCAGCTACAGTACTGTGAGGATGACCTGCTTCAGTCAAACCCCACTTTATATACACCCACTTAATACGGACACCTTGTTATTATGGACAGTCTTTCTTGTCCCCAGCCCTCACATTATTTAAATTTAATATGTAAACATTCTATGGCCCCTCTTAGATTCTGTATTAACCCTTTACACCCTAAGATCAAAATTTGTTTCACAAAGCATTGATATTACAAGGAGAAATTTGATGCTTATCACTCTTAGGGCTTAAAGGGTTAAGGGGGTTTGAGTGTACTTTCATAGAAGACAAAAGGAAGATAGAACCAAAAGAGTTTCTTAGCTGTTCAATTCCCCACCTACTGATCCCAAACACCCAGCAACTTTTTAATACTAGTGACAGCCCTGTTTATTGTTTTGCACTGATATAATCATTGCAATGGTTCTTAGTTCTCCACTGGAAAATTGTGAGAATCAAAGGTTGTGCTTGAGGAAGCCATGATGAAATGTTAGGGCAGGGGAAAAGAGCTTCTCCTGACCTTATGGTTATCTCTTATCCATAAGATTTCCAACTTCAGATTTAGGAGCTAGATTTTGACAAATATGTATTCCTGATAATAATGTTTTTCTTGTTTGTGGTTATTCTAGTTGAAGACGACTCCAGCCGCACCACCACCAGCTCCAAGACAACCGGCAGCATCACCTTCTGCATCGCAGCCTGCAGTTCTTCAGACTAAAGAGGAACCACCCCCTTATGTGGTGTGTGCTTGTATTTAACCCTCTTGTGATGTAATAGCAAATTAATAGCAATCTTATTATCAATATGATCAATAGACTGATTGCAAATGTGATGACATATGCACGAAAGCGAGGCCTTTTGGTGGCAACGGTTGCTTAGGGTCAATTTTCCTTTTTGCTGTAAGAAAGTTTGTTGTTTTCATTTTCTCGAAGTGTTTCTATCAAAGATCTCTTGAGAAATTACCTAATTGTGGACAAAATTTATTTGAGTGATCTTTTCTTAAAACTGTAGGTGTTATATCTAGGTCAGTGCTTTGTCACTGCTCAGTGCAAGCAGCCTTTATTATGCCTATATTTTCCTTGCGTAGAATAGAAGTCAGTGACATGAAGACCAAATTGATTGCTCCATAAAACACTCTACAGTCACTAGGCAGATGGGAAAGCTTACTCAAAATGAACAACCCAAAAGAAAACTGCTTGAAAACTTTCTTAAACAGTTCATAACGAGAGGGTCAAGAGTTCAGAAACATTGCCTGCACAGTTTATGTTAAAACGGCTCATGCAAAAGCAAGGTTCAGTCTTGGAAGTTCTAAAGTACGCTAAAAAATAGCTTAACTCTTCTGGTACATTTTTAATTATAACAGTTCATTATGCAGAAAACTAAACAAAGTTTCCTAGATATATTAAGTTCAATTGTGGAGTGAAAAGAATTAACCCGCTCCTTGCCCAAAATATGACTTGGAAAGAAAAGGAAAGCAAAACAACAACAACAACAAAACCTTGATAGCCCATTTCTATGCCGCAATAGGCCTTTTTTACTTTTAATCGCAGACCACTCACCTTGTGTTATTTTTTCGATTCAACCAGTGCTGAATGCGGTCCTGAGACAAATAGTTTCTGATGATATTTAAGTTCATATTGAAGATTACCTTCAGTTGTGTTAGCTTGCGTTTGACAGCTGGTTTGATGCTTTGAGGTTGAAAGAAAGGTGGGCCAAGAATGATACGAAAAGAAAATAGCAATGCACCTTTAAGGGCTGTCCTATAATACTTAAGAATTCACAAGAGCTTTTTGGCTTTGACAATCTGATGTTGTAAGTCAATTAATAAGGAGGTCCGATAGAACATGATTCTTATCAGAAGAGAAAGTCTCTTTGCAGTAACGGTGTGGAGAAGGATAACAAAGCTATTCCTTGAGTCGATGATACATAATCAGTTAAAAAGCAGTTCTGTATGAGCGGCTTTCACACCTGTTTGATGACTATTCTGTCCTAATGCTTCACACCTGCTGTGTCGAAGTGCACTCCATACATGAAAAGTAAGGGCATAAAAAGGGCTGCCTTAAACCAAACTGTATCGTAACCCTGACCTAAATATCACTTTTAAACTGTAAAGGAAAGATATTTCAAGTATATTTTACCCACAATTAGGTAATTCCTTTACAGAAGTTTAAAAGAAATGCTTTGAGAAAATGTAAACAACTTACTTTTTTGAAGCAGAAGGAAAGGAAGAAAGACCCTTAGCAACCATTGCTACCTATAAGCCTCGCTTTTGTGCTTACGTCTCCATATTTGCAATCGGTCTATGATAGTAAAAATTACATAACATAAGAATATATCGTTTGGGGGGCCTGAAAGGCAATTTTCTTATCTCAGGCGACAAACTCCTTAATAATTCCTATCTGAAAAACGAAATTAACATTATCTCCCCTAGATGTTTGGTACCAAAAAAAAAGAGCCTTTTCCATGACTTACATTGTATTTTTGTCAACACTTTTGCGCGCTAAGAGCAAATTTATGGTAAACTATGAATGGAAGGCATCCCACCCCCTACCATACTTACAAGTACCCCCTACTATGGTTGCCCATTTCTATTGATGATATTGCTGCCTACTTAAATTTTTTCTTCTTCTGCTTTTAAAATTTCTGGGAAATTTTCTGGCCAGCATTTAGGCAAAAAAGAGGCAAAACTTGCATGAAGTACAATAAACTGGTGAGTTTACCTAATGTGCATTATTATAACATGCAATATTGTTATATTGTCATTCTATGTAAACTTTATGTGCAGGTTGAAGAGGAGCAAGAAAACTTGAGAAAACGTCAGGAGGTATGTATACTGTAATCATGACAAACATTGAAGAGGAAAAAGATTTTGTGCAAATTAGGCTAATGGTAATTGATTCACTTTAACAAGAAAGTGCAGTTTACAAGTTTAGGCCAACAAGGACTTTTGAGTTGTCGCTTGTGATCTTTGCAGTAATTCCTTTTTCTATATGCTTCAGAATATGCAACATTTTCTTGAGATTGTCACAAATGTAGGTAGCAATGCAAAATCGCAGAGTATATTGTTAGAGAAATCTAGATTTAACAAAGCGCCCACTGAAGCGTAGTGCACACTGTGTTGAGTAAGATAACTTTTCTGGCCTATAAAAAGAAAGGAAAGAAAAAGGATTGCTTGAAAGGAATGCTTATTTGTTGTATCATTTCGTACAAATATGTGATTAGTAATATAACAATGTTTTTGCATTAGGCTGAGTGAGATATGAAGAATATGCAGATTGAGGAAATTGAACAATAGGGGGAAAATAATATAATTATCTCCCCTAGATTTCTGAGATCTGCTTAATTCTTTAGGTCATACCTTTAGGTCTTAGCTGCCTCTTTGCATGACATCCATGCCCATTTTTTTCAGTCAAGTAATTTACTATTGTTGTTAGTGTTTACAAAATGTAAAGGCTAGAAAAAACACAAGGTTGGCATTGTGGTGAGAGCACTTGCCTCCCACTAATGTGGCCCAGGGTTCAAATCCTGGTGTCAACACCAGACATTAAATTTTGTGGGTTGAGTTTGTTGTTGGTTCTCTCCCTTGCTCTGAGAGGTTTTTCTCCTGGTACTCCGGTTTTCCCCTCTCTTCAAAAACCAACATTTTCAAATTCCAATTCAACCAGGAATAAGGCAGATGAAGGATCCTATGTGGACGTGCTACCTCTAAAGGCTGGTTTTCACTAGCGACGGAGTCGGAGTCAGTGTCGTAATCAGAAGCATAGAGTTTATGATCTAGTGAAAACAGCATTCCGATTCCGCTTACGACTGTGTCGCTTACATTCTGCTTTTGATCTAGTGAAAACAAGATTGTCGGAGTCAGAAGCAGAAGAGGAAGACCTATACCAATCACAAAGCGTGGGAATGTGCACTGTGATCAAGGTTTATCCTTCTGCTTCTGCTTCGGACTCCAACAATCTGGTTTTCACTAGATCATAAGCAGAAAGTAAGCGACAGAGTTGTAAGCGGAGTCTGAAGAAATGGAAACATTCTGATTCTTCTGACTCCGATTCCATCGCACTTATGACTCCGCTTACGACACCGATTTTTTTTTTTCACTAGGTCATAAGCACTCTTAAGGCTCCACTTACGACTCCAACTCTGACTCCGTTAGTAGTGAAAACCAGCCCTAAATCATTATTTTATTTATTTATTATATATTATTAGTGAAATGGTATACAGTATTATTGTATCTTTATTTTGTAGGAATTAGAGCGCAAGGCAGCAGAGTTGCAGAGAAAAGAGCAGGAGTTACAGAGAATGCAGTTTGGAGGTACTGAACAGTAGGGTTGGAGAATATTCTATTTTCATGTTCATTTTGGCTGATCGAAAACATTGTCATGCTTCTTACAGGTCTTTAAGGTCAGGGCACACCAGGTGAAAAGTTGCAGCAACCCACTGTGTCGACAGATCACTCTGGCTTATGTACAGGTTGCATGATGAGTTACAAGAACATGTTGCAGTGACACATCAAAGCGACAAATCACTTTGTGTGTACAGGAGAATTTTTGTAACAATCTTTGTCTCTGCAACAAGTTGCAAAAAACATAATCAGACTGAATCTGTGCAACTTTTTGCAGCGACAAAATTCTGTTGTAGAGACAAAGATTTTCATAAAAATTATCCAGTACATGCAAAGCGATTTATAGCTGCGATGTGTCATTGTGACATGTTGTACATGTCACCTAGTGTGTACTGACCTTTACCTGTCCAACTACCTGTTCTGTGCTACATGATTCTCGTAGTACAAAAATCAGTGAATATTAAAGTGTTAATGATCTGTCCTGGATGTAAGATTTGAGTTACACAGTATGTGTAATAAGGCCTTATGTGACTCCTGGGAGAATAATTATAGCATTTTATCAGAAATCAGTCAATCCAGTCAGTCCTTGAAATAAGCCTTTCACAACTATCAGTAATTTCGTGGGACACAAAATTCACGGGATTTGTGGTTGCGGTGCACAATGCACCAAGGTTCGCAATGGGCCTTTAAATGTAAGGTTTATCTATAAACCAGGGACCAACAGGCACTACTAGAAGACATCCTCGTTAAAACAACTTTTAAGTTAATTAATGTTTTCTAAAGGCTAATTTTGTATTACTTTTCCATCACTCAAAGGTACCCAATACTAATTTTCATCACAATTTCAACAATTTTTTCTTAATTTCTTCTAGTAGCATTACAATAAATGAAATGATAAATTAAATTAGATCTTTACATGTATTAACCTTTATATTGCAGGTTACAGAGAAAACAACTTTCCACCTCTGCCATCAAACTGCCCTTGCAAGCCATGTTTTTTCCATGATATTACCATTGACATCCCCATTCAATATCAGAAGACGTGCAAATTACTTTTCTACAGATGGCAAGGTAGGGCTGGTCATGATCAAAACATGAATTGTTTCTTTTTTGTTTCTTTCTTCCGTAGAAATATGCCATTGATTGTAGAATTTTGTGGTAGAAGAAAAAGAATGAAAGCAGGTTTTATGTCAGCCACTGGCTATTGGTGTGATTCAGCACCTGTGCATATTTAACCTACATCGTTAGGGCAGAGAATGATGTCATGTTTTTGAGCTGCTCCTTTTTTCAAGGAGTACAAAGAAAAACTGGGTTTTTTCGAGAGGCTCTTAACCCGGCAGGGCTCGAAAAAATAGAGAAGCAGCTCTCACAGTTTACTTGCCTGGGCCCACTTCTTACTCGTCTTAGTTAATGATTTTGTTGGAGGGTGACTTGCCTGGATCTTTGCCCTTGGGCAGCAAGTAAGCTTTAAAAGTTACTTACCCAGCAAGAAAGTCTACTTGTCCGGGATTACTAGACTTTTTTGAGTCCTACCTAGCAGCAGAAAATATAACGGAGGGAGTGAAGTTACTACTTACTTAAAAAACATCACCACTGGACAAAAATTAAGTTTAAACCCTGCCCCTGATTAGAATGCCAACTCCCCCTTGTCACCCTGCCTTGTTTGCATCATTCCTGTCTTATCAGGGTTCCAAGTAAAAGTCAACCATCCCATATGTACATTATTCTTTACGATAGACTATTAGTAATACTTCAATCTTTGTCTTGGTGGCTTGTATGATTGTCATGTGTTTATTTTCTTTTTTATTAAAATGCTTTTGTCAAACTTTTAAATGTAAACCTAGAAAGGTGCCTTATACTTTGCTTTGAATTGGCATTCATTTGGAATTTGAAGGCTAAAAACTACAAAAAAAACCTCTGCTTTTGGCAGTATTTACTTTGAAGTATAGTCATTCAAGGAGAATGTTTTGACCAGATCTCCGAGGTAAATCTTTAAATTGAATATAGAAACTACTTCTGATCAGATGACCCCAGATTTGTGTATTAAATCCTGTAAAATACAACCCAGTAAAGATCTTCACCCGGCAGTTTCCATTAAACCTTTTTGATACCATCCAAATTGTTTTAATGTTGAAATGACCATAAATGATCTGATAGACTCCCTCTCTGAAGTAAATGCCTTTTGTCTAATAAGTGCCTCCCTTACACTAACTTTTGAGTTTGTATTAGAACACCCCCTATCTAATGGACGCCCCCCAGTCAGTTTCTTGCCTGATTAACAAAGGCTACACATTCACATCTTGTCCAATGTTTGAAAAGTTCAAAGATAAATAGGGTAACAGTGACAGTTCTCACAATGATCCTGAATGAGGATTCTGACGTTAAGGTTGAAATTTGAAGAGCAACGTAGATCTCTAGACGGCCTAGAAGTATTAATAAATAGACTGGTTATTTTGCTATCGATAAACTATATTGATTTTTTTCCCGAAAACATATTGGTTGTGTTGAACTTTCTACAAATATGAAATAAATGCCTCCTATCTATTAAACGCGCTCTCTTGGACCCCTAAAATGAAATAAACATCCCAGGCTTCTATTAGGTTGGTATGTATCTTGTATCTTGCCGCTGTTACTGTTGTAAAAAAGTAGGTGAGTTTTTTGTTTTTCTTTCAGTCTACTCTTTCACAATGTTCTATAACTTCCTTGCCGCCTTTGCCATGCTTGTTGATGATGCTGAGCCACTTCATGAAGGCGCAACATTTGGACTCTCGATACTGTACTTAGTTGTAAATGTACCTGCGTCATTTTTGGGGTGGTACAGGCCTGCTTATAATGGTCTAAAGTAAGTAAGGATAAGAATCACAAAAGTTTAAGTCAGCAAAGTGTCAGCTTGAATGTTTCATGAAATATATTTTTTTTAAAAATATTGCTGGTAATTTTGTGCCTGTTGCAAGGGTAAATTAGTCTACAACGACAGGTAACCCAAGTTCGAAATATGACCATCAGCCTTGTTACATAAGGTTAAAAATATAAGGATTTGTATGGTGAAAAAAATAATTATTATTATAATTACAATTATTGTTACTGTAACCTATGATTGTGAAAGTATTGAAATAAAAATGGCTAACCTCAGCGGCATGTGTTTCTTTTTTCCTGTGTGGTTTCTGGGTTGATTCATGGCCATTTTATGCATGTTAATTCAGCTGGTTTGTTCTCTCAATAATCTCAATTAAAACACATAAAATGGCCATAAATAGACTTGGGAACCACCGAGGAAAGAAGAAACACACAAATTAAGTGAGGTTAACTGAGTTTTTGTTTTACTTTCATTCTTAGGTTACAGAAACAGTTGTTTTTTACCATGCAAATCCTTATACATGTATTTCAAACGTTGTGCAGCAACACCGATGTTCATGCTTTAAGCCTTGCCACCTGTGTTGAAACCAACAGCAAACAGCGGTATTAGCTGATAGCAGGTGGCCACTGTTGTTATATACTTAAGGTTTTTTTTCTGTTTGGTTAAGTTTTACTAACAATTCCATGGCCCTTTTCTGATGCATTCAGGCTGGGATAATTTATAAGCTGACTTAAACTTTTTTATGATTACTGGCTCTCTTAGCTTCCCTATCCATTTCCTTTTTGTTGCAGTTTACTGTTTTGTTCTGTTCTTTAACTTCCTTGCTGCAATGGCCCTACTGATCAAGGGACCTGGTGACTCAAAACTGGATACTGGTGCAACTTTTGGCCTGTCAGCCTTATACTTAATAGCTAATGTCCCCTTATCCTTCATTGGCTGGTACAGGCCATGCTATCGTGCTTTCAAGTAAGTTTTTTGTTTTACACCTGCATGAAGGACTGGAAATGTAGGCCATTTTGCAAACTGGCCGCATATTTCTCACCTTGGAACTTTTACAGAGGACCCAGTCTGCAAATTTGGTATCACACTGATTCCACAACCATATAATGAATGAAGAACATTCAATTTAGGTTTCTAGGAAACTGCCCACCCACCCCTCCCCTAAGGGACTTGTCAGAAATTAGTAGGGGGGGGGGGTGGGAATTTGAAATGGGGGTTCGGAAATGAGGTGACCCATTCCTGCAATGGGAGTGAAATTTCCTAACCCTCCCCTTGAGCTTGGCCTAAAATATCATGACCCTCCCCCTATTGTATAAATGAGAAAATCTAGTTCTTGCAATACACTAGGGTGAGTCAGTATTGTGACAACTCAAAATATGTTTCTAATCTGTTCTTTGTAATGCAATAGCTATATAAATACATTTTAGATGACGGCATTAAGAGTCCGACTCTGATTCTGACAGCCGATCACTTAACGGAATAAAGAACTTCCTTTTTCTTTTGTGGGTGAACCTATACATGATCATGGGCATATATTTGCATGACCCTCCTCCTTTAAACGGCCCATTTTTCATGACCCCTCCCTTTTCTGCAGTCTCAAAAAGTTGTGACCCTCCCTCTGTTCCCCCCCTCACCCCTGCTAATTTCTGACAAGTCCCTAAGCCAACATTTTGCCCTAAGAGAGTATTAAGTGATAATGTTGGCTTTGGGGAGGGGTAGGTGGGCAGTTTCCCAGAAACCTAAATTGATCCCAAATTTGCAGTAAAAATTAAACCCACCATATTCCCATGCAGTGATATGAAAAGTATCTTGGTGAAATGAAATCCCTTTAGATCCGTAAGTTGTAGTCAGGTGTAAATTAAACTGAAATTTGGCTTAATTATTGCTTTTAATTCACTTTTTCGTTGATCAAAGAGAAAACCTTCCAACACCTTTACTGGATGCTTGTCTTTGGTTATAGTACAGCCTAAAATCAAGTTGATGACTGATCCTCTTATAAATTCATGAAGGATTTGAAGACTTGATTGGCGATGATTGATTCTTGTGTTTGTTACATGTTTCCTGTCAGAATAACCAAACCGAAACAGCCTTTGTTAAAGTTTCAGTTAGTTGGAATCAAGTGTTTTTTTCCTTTTTTTGTATTTTTCAGGAATGACAGCTCCTTTAGCTACGTGATTTTCTTCCTAATCTTTTTTCTGCACATAGGAATAAATATTTTTTACTGTCTTGGAGTTCCTGGTTCAGGAGCATGGTAAGTTCTGAGCATACTTAAAAAATCCTTATAGATTACCCTTGTCCTTTTCAACACAACACACAGGAACTTTTAATATTATATCCCATTAAAATTTAATCTCCGATTAGCTAATCAGCCTTCGCACAACTGAGCCCAAGGCATTTCCTCTATTTATTATCATTCAATCATGGGTATTATCTTCTGTAAATAGTTGTTAAGTCAAGGGCATACGTCTGTGGTTAGTCAGCAGTATTAATTACCGATTATTGATTATCATTTAATCATCCCCAGGTGACCTGGCCGTCAATGATAAGCCAATCAACATTGAGCCAAAATTATTTTTAAAGCTGGACAGAATTCTTTCTGTGCCTAGACCGTACAAACCAGCAGCTTTGATGGATTGTCAGAAATGCTACTGTTTTCAGTTAGAAATATTCACAGTCGTCCATTCATATAAGTACTTCTCATCTTTCTGATACCATCTAGAGTTCTACATGTAGCACGACGTTGGAAACAATCCCAAAATTCATGATAAATTTAGCACTCTAACTACCCGCTACCACCATGAAAGACAAAAATGAAACTGATGGCTACAGGCCCCTTGTGTCATCTGGGCTTCGTATTCTTCTGTTCAAAAGCATTTTCACGGATACGTTTCTCGTTTCTTTATAGAGCATCAACTCATTACATTGCAGGCGAAAAGAGTAACTTTCAAGCTTTCATTTCTGAATTGAAATTTAGCGCTAACCCTGGGTTGTCTTAACCCTGCTTTGAACAACCCGGCCTTGGACTGTATTATTATACACACGAGATTTACTTTATATATTGTTTGTTTGTTTTCTTTTTTCAGTGGTTTTATCAATGCAACTGTGACAATACACAACAGTGTACCAGTTGGAGCCATGATGTTTGTGGCCGGGGGAATGTTCTTGATTGGTGTGATCGTAGATATTTTTCTTCTTTTAAAGGTTTGTCTTCTATATAATCGTGCCAGCTAATTGTAGCTAGCTAACAAGTATCATATGATAAATCAATCTGATTGCTGGAGATATGTTTGTAAAGGCGGGGTTTGAACCCTGGTTTGACATGTCATAACGTTGTATACAATTACAAGATGATCTTCACAGCTTGGAAAAATGGGAATCCGACTGGTGAATGGAATTTAAAAATTATACGGGTAACACGCAAACATACACCTTTCATATTTCATTAAAAACTTCATGGCAAGGTCCTGGAAACTGTTGATACTACTAAAGATTTAGGGATCAACCTCTCTCACGTGATTTACGCTGGAATGATCATGTAATTGAAATTACCACCAAAGCAAACAAGACTCTGAACTTTTCTACGCCACAATCTCCGCACTTGTTTGGCCAAATCCAAAGAACGAGCATACAAAGCCCTTGTTAGACCGATTGTTGAATACAGTGCCGATGTCTGGGAGGCGAACTATCACTCGCCACACAATCAAGCTGTACCCTTGCGTAGCTAAGAACATACAACAGGTCGAAATGATTCAACGCCGAGCAGCTCGCTGGGTACTCGGGCGCTACGACAGATTAGACAGTGTCACTGATATGTTATCTTCTCTCAAATGGAGATCCCTGGTGCTCAGGCGATCTCACGCACGTCTCTGTCTGCTGTACAAACAGTGTAATGGATTAGCCTCTTACGATTGCGACAAGCTTCAGAGAGAACATAAGAGCAGAATGGACACCAGGCTCTCGTCTCTCAGTCATCGATTTGAGTAGCTACGTTGTACATGTGATTATTAAAAGAACTCTATTTACCCTAGGAGTTCACAGTGGAACAATCTCTCACCAGAAATTATAGCATCTACTTTGCCATGTTCATTTAGGCAATCCCTGTGTAATCTTACATATTGATTAGTAATTTTCTGCAATACTCTCTTAAGAGTGAAGACTTAATTGGTAAATAATAACATCCTGAAGTAAAATATTTATTGATGTTGACAGGTACACAGGATATACCGCATGGCGGGTGCAAGCTTTGAGAAAGCTCAGGGAGAGTTTGCACGGGGAGTGGCCAGCAACCCGCATGTGCAGAATGCAGCCACAGAAGTAGCGGCAGCTGGGGTGCGCAGTGCTATCTCCGGTGATAACAGGAAGTGATCAACAGGTTTAAGAGGACATTATTATCACATATTTATGGACAAACTGAGGCTGAGAAGCTGTTCATAGACGTATCTGGATTCCGAAAATATAGAGACTCCATTTGGTAGTGGTATTAAGTTGATCAATGCAACTTTAAACCTGAATCTTGGTTGCATTTTTTTTTTTTGAAATATCAGGTTTCTTCATTAATCAGGGCTCAAAAAAGCCCGATACACCTGGTATTCTTGGACAAAACACTGTCATTTTTCTTGCTGGGCGAGTATTTTTTTAAAGCTTATGTGCCCAATGAGCAAGAATCCAGGCAAGTCATCTTGTAACTGAATCGTTCAGCAATGGATCTGTGCAAGCAAAGTGTGAGAGCTGTTGCCCAAAAGACAAGGTGGAATTCGTCACTTTCGAAACGAGAAGGGAACTGGACTCCGTTTCTCGAAAGGCGGGGAAAGGTGTTTTATGTTTGCCGTGTTTGCATCCAAGATTCAAGTTTCAATAATTCTGATAATGATACAATGAAGCTATCAGTTAACGAAGCAAAATTGACTGGTTTGTGAGCTAGGAACTGTGCTACTTTTACAAAGGTTTTGATTTTAAATTTGCTTTCGGGCCCGAAAAGTTTCCGGGCTTTTCGAGAAACAGGTCCCTGGGGCCGAGTTAACTTTCGCAAAGACTTCTGGGACTGTTACTGGAGACAGGGAAAGAGTTGGCCAATGGCTGACCAGCGCGTCCCCAGTAACGATCCCTGAAACAATTTCATGACGCATTTCGGCTCCATTTCCCTTCTGTTCTCGGCGAATTGCTTTTTTATGAGCCCTGCCTAAGTAATGAATTTTTCAAAGTTTCTCATTCTTAAGACTTGCTGTCTTTACAGAGGAGTAATTTGAGGAGTTGTTAGCTTTTTTGCCAGTCGTTTTCAGAAAATTCTGAATGTAATGTTTAGTGCGGCCAATTCCAGCTATCCACAGTTTTGAATTAGTAGAAGCATATATTGATATTATAGAATTAATTTAAGAGCCACTTAGTACAAGGAGAGCCAACCAGAGTTACTCTGTGACATTTTAAAGGTGTGTTATTTTTTTATACGTCATTGTGGTGAAATGTCGCGCAGACCTGTAAAGAATTAAATTGCTTGTAAACATAGTACTGAGGTGGTGTAACCTACAACCGACCAAACGTGGAAAATTGTAAAATTAATCTTATTTGTTGAAAGATATGGAGTAAACAGTGCAGACTTACCAAACGTACGCTGAGTTTATGGTTTTAGAAGGTTTTTTTCTTCTCAAAATCGGTTTAGCGTGGCGTAAAAATAGTTTGAGTCTCACGCGCGCGAAAAATACAATGACTGAAATTAAAATACAATGACTGCCACCACAGCTAGGCAGGCTATCCCAGCTGAAATCTTGCACTCGCATTCATAACACGTTGCAATTTCCAAGTATGATATTCTGGGATTCCATATAAAAGGCTATTACAATAATCCAATGTATTCTGTTAAGTTCGCATGTTTCTTATAAGTTTGCACGCGTGTTATTAAGTATGCGTGTTTGCATGTCTTCTGTCAAGTTTGCATGCTATTTATTATGTTTGAATTTCTTCTGTTAAGTATGCATAATCTTTATAAGTTCGCACGTCTTCTGTTGGGTTTTCATGCTCTCAATTAAGTACGTATGCTATATATAAAGTTTGCATGTGTTCTGCTAAGTTTTCATGTGTTCCGTTAGTTTGCATGTGTTCCGCCCCCCTCGGTACATTTGAAAATCAAGAGGGCCTCGACGATCTCACGAAAAAATAGGGGACTGTGAACAGTCTATCCCTTGCTCGAAAATGCTTGTAGCAAGGGCTAGTAATATGATAATTGTTACTTAGGGAAATCACATACCTGACAGTGTTGATATTCTCGCATCAATAACACGAATTTCGTCAGATGATGAACAAGTGCAGTTGGGAACAAACCTAATCTCAACAAAGATAACGGCAAAAGAAACAACTCGTTACCAAAATAAAGCATCTAAAAAATAAAAGAAAATACAGGTACTCGAGAAACAGCCATCACCATTTTGGGGTTTACCCGTAAGCGCCATAAGAAACTTTTTTATTTGTGGTTCTTGTTTTGCAACAGGGGCAAATGAGTTCACTTCTGTTGTTTACTTATTTTAAGTTCTCCATTCTCTGACTATAGTAGACGACAACATGTAAAGTACTACGTTATACTCTTATTCTAGATTTTATCGTCGGCAAATAAAAGATAAGTATATCAATCCTATCTCCATAGCTGGAATCAGTGCTTAACTGCCATAGGGCTTGTTATTCAAGTCTTAAGAGAAACTCGGGGATTAATTTCTAATAAAAAACCGTTTTGACAGTAAAAACTACCTCAAGCTTAAAAGACGATTTCCTAGCCAGTGAACGAAGTCGGCGACTCAATTTCATTCCAAGGTATTTTTCGGATACCGATTCAACCTAGAAAACAAATATGCTGAAGAAAAACAAATAACCGGTTCGAAAATGTTACCATGTAACAGACATCATGTAAACTAATATTCAAACTATTTGATGCGGAATTATTGCGCTGGATTGGAATCCTAGTTTATCTAGTTTTAATAGTAGGTTCCATATATCATAGACTGAAGTATCAGTCCAGGGAGCTCCTGCCTCCCTTGTTTGCTGGGTTTGAATCCCAGTTTATCTAGTTTTAATAGCAAGTTCCATCTATCATAGACCGAAGTATCAGTCCAGGGAGCTCCTGTCTCCCTTGCTTGCTGGGTTGGAATCCCAGTTATCTAGTTTTAATAGCAAGTTCCATCTATCATAGACTGAAGTATCAGTCCCGGGAGCTCCTATCTCCCTTGTTTGCTGGGTTGGAATCCCAGTTTATCTAGTTTTAATAGCAAGTTCCATCTATCATAGACTGAAGTATCAGTCCAGGGAGCTCCTGTCCCCCTTGCTTGCTGGGTTGGAATTCCAGTTTATCTAGTTTAAATAGTAAGTTCCATCTATCATCGACTGAAGTATCAGTCCCGGGAGCTCCTGTCTCCCTTGTTTGTTGGGTTGGAATCCCAGTATATCTAGTTTAATAGTACGTTTTAACTATCATAGACTGCAGTATCAGTCCAGGGACCTCCTGTCTCCCTTACTTGCTGGGTTGGAATCCCAGTTTATTTAGTTTTAATAGTATGTTTAACTATCATAGACTGAAGTATCAGTCTAGGGAGCTAATGTGTCCCTTGCTAGCTGGGATGGAATCCCAGTTGACGTAACCACATATTACTATTATAGTAAGTAATGCACTTCATTTGCTTCCAGAATTTGGGCATAAAAAGTAAGTTTCATCTACATGTATCATAAACTGAAGTATCAGTCCAGGGAGCTCCTGTCTCCCTTACTTGCTGGGTGTGGAATCCCAGTTATCTAGTTTTAATAGTAAGTTGCATCTATCATAGACTGAGTTATCAGTCCAGGGAGCTCCTATCTCCCTTGTTTGCTGGGTTGGAATCCCAATTTATATAAATTTAACAGAAAGTTTTAACTATTATAGACCGAAGTATCTGTCCGGGGAGCTCCTGTCTCCCTTGTTTGCTGGGATGGAATTCCAGTTTATCTAGTTTAAATAGTAAGTTCCATCTATCATCGACTGAAGTATCAGTCCTGGGAGCTCCTGTCTCCCTTGTTTGTTGGGTTGGAATCCCAGTATATCTAGTTTAATAGTACGTTTTAACTATCATAGACTGAAGTATCAGTCCAGGGACCTCCTGTCTCCCTTACTTGCTGGGTTGGAATCCCAGTTTATTTAGTTTTAATAGTATGTTTAATCATCATAGACTGAAGTATCAGTCTAGGGAGCTAATGTGTCCCTTGCTAGCTGGGATGGAATCCCAGTTGACCTAACCACATATTACTATTATAGTCTTAGAGTATCCTTGTAATGGTTCAGGGAGCACCTGTCTCCCATATTTGCTGGGTTGGAATCCCAGTTGACCTGAGTGCATATTACTTAGAAAATCAGTTACAATCGTCTCAGGGCAACAGCTCCTTCACAGAAAACCGAAAATTAAACCCAAAATAATCCAAAAATTTTATTATTTAAAAAACAAACAAACAAAAAAAAGATGAAAAGCGTACACTCTCATGGCCTGTGCAGTATCGAATAAGTCAATAAGCACTTGAGCGCAGTGCCACAAGAATGACTGTGACCTCCGCTTGTGTCCAAACCGGGCCACCTGGGCATGAGCGCTTACAACAGACTTGTTTCGTGACAGAAGCTGAGATATGGCATGACCCGATGAGCGGTACACCGCTACGGCCTGTGCATAATCACTCGTAAAGCTCTGCCCCACTGCAGAATGAGTTGACAAGCACTTGAGTGCAACGGCCGTTTTCTCATAGGCGCCCAATACATCACCTGTCGGTCAGAGGCGACCACCTAGACCTCGGTGTAACTGATGGCTCAATACCACTCGCTGCGCATAAGTAGACAAGCACCCTGTGGAACGCACGAAACCCTCCACCTGGCTTGAGGTCAACGGGCCACCTTTTTTTTTTAGAATCCTCTTTTAGTATTTTAGTACTAAAAGCAGTTTGTGTTTTTACTTTATTGAAAGAATTGCTGCACCCCAACAGTCCAATACTATTATTAGAGGTGAAGACGTAACGCACTTCATTTGCTTTCAGAATTTGGGCATGAAAAGTAAGTTTCATCTACATGTATCATATACTGAAGTATCAGTCCAGGGAGCTCCTGTCTCCCTTACTTGCTGGGTTGGAATCCCAGTTTTTCTAGTTTTAATGGTATGTTCTATCTATCATAGACTGAAGTATCAGTCCAGGGAGCTCCTATCTCCCTTGCTTGCTGGGTTGGAATCCCACTTTATCTAGTTTTATTGGGAAGTTCCATCTATCATAGACTGAAGTATCAGTCCAGGGAGCTCCTGTCTCCCTTGTTTGCTGGGTTGGAATCCCAGGTTATCTAGTTTTAATAGTACATTCCATCTATCATTGACTGAAGTATCAGCCCAGGAACTCCTGTCTCCCTTGCTTGCTGGGTTGAAATTCCAGGTTATCTTGTTTTAATAGTAACATCCATCTATCATTGAATGACGTATCAGTCCAGGGAGCTTCTGTCTCCCTTGCTTGCTATGGGGTTGGAAACCCAATCCATCTAGTAAAACGTTTTATCTATCATAGACTGTTGTATCCGGCTAGGGAGCATATTTTCCTCTTGCTTGCAGGGTTGGAGTTTTAGTTTACCCAGTGCTAATAGTAACTTGAAGTACTTAAACTGCTGTATATTTCCAGGGAGCAGCTGTCGCCCAAGCTAGACCAAGCAACCCTTCATACAATCATACAAAGTATGATATGAAAGCCGAGGCCTGAAAAGGAAATTATTTCGCTTATTGGGATATAACGCTAATTTATAATCATTGCAGGACGTAAGACAATGGTGCAGATAGTACTTACATTTTTGAATCTCTCAACTTCGTGTTTCATGAGTTTCATTTCTTCTGCCAAACATTGTCTAGCTTTCTGCTAATTATTTATCTGTTAAAATGAAAAGGTAACATTCCATTAAACAAGTCAAGATAATGGAGCTTTTAAAACATGAGCACTGTAGAATAGGTTTGTTATTGACTTTTGCAGAGAAACAATACCTGCATCAGTGCCAGGCGAGACTTTCCAAAAACAGTTACTGTTTGCATAAAAGTGCATTGTAATTTACGAAAAGAATTAAAATCAAATGTTAATTTGTTTGAATTCATGTTTATTGCAACTTGGTCAGTTTAAAACAGTCTGATATGGCATTTTCTGACAAGAGTTCTACAGGAGAAGATTTAATCGAGAACTTTCGTAAAAAAAGACTCCATCCTGCATCGTTGAATATGCTCCGGCCTTGCTGGTTTGAAAACGCAGTAGTCTAGGACAAATTCCAGTTTTGTAAAGACAAGTGTTTTGAAGCTAACTACGCATCAGATCTAGGATCGAAACGGACCAATGATAAATTTAGATGCTGGAAAATTCTTATTCCAACAAAGATACTATTTATATGAACGTAATGTTTATTGCAGTGGAACCTCAATATAGTCCTCAGTCTAAAAACTATCTTTTTCAACTCCAGGAATAGAAAAGATATAAGGCAATATGAAAAAAACTTCGATATAAGTTAAACGAACCTCGATATAGCGAAGATATTTTGCCAGTCCCTTGGTCTTTCGTTATATCGAGGTTGCACTGTATTAAATTTTATTAGTTATTTTTCAAATGCGAGGGCCCTGGGTTAAAAGAGTTTAACCAAGTTAATTTTCATTAGCGGCCGGACTCAATTTAGACTTTCACAAAGTCATTCAATGTCGCGCGCTTTTTTTCTTGTTGTCGCTCGCTTGGGTCGCGCGCAGGTC